CCCTAGCATTTACTTCTTTTACATCCCCATCTATACATATGTTAAACAACCATGGTGACATCCCGCATCCCTGTGTAAGGCCAACTTTTACCAGAAAAAATCCTTCCCTTCCACATACCCTAACCTGAGCATAAAAAGTTGTAACTGCTTTCAGTAACCTACCATGGTGACATTACACATCCCTGTCTAAGACCTGCTTTTACTGGGAAGTAATCTCCCTCTCTCCTACACACCCTAACTTGAGTCTCACTATCCTCATAAAAACTTTTTACTGCATTTAGTAACTTACCACCTATTCCATACATTTACATCATCTGCCACATGGCTCCTCTATCCACCCTATCGAATGCCTATTCTAAATCCATAATGCAGAGAAAACTTCTTTACCCTTATCTAAATACTGTTCATTTATGTTTCAATGTAAACACTTGGCTACACATCTCCCACCCTTCCTAAAACCTCTTTATTCTTCTGCTATTGGTCCTATCCTTTACTTTTTAATATCTCTACCATACACTAACTGGTATACTCAAAAGGTTTATTTTCCTATAATTCTTATTCTCTTTCGTCCCCTTTGCCTTTATATAAAGAAACTGTGCACGCTCTCTGCCAGTCCCTAGGTACCTTCCCCTCTTTCATACTTTTAATGAACTAATGCACTAAGCTCTCTAAAAGTATAGTCCCACCTGCTTTTAACATTTCTGTCTAGATCCCATCAGCCCCAGCTGTTTTACCCCGTTTCAGTCTGCCCACAGCCTCACGCACCTCCCCCCCCCCCGTATTCACATTTGTATCTTCCTCATTCCTAAAGAACGTTATACCTCTCTGGCCAATGCATAAAATTACTACCTCCTTTTCATCAACGTATAAAAGTTCCTCAAAAATTTCCTTCCATTTTCCCAGTGTTTCCGCCTCGTCTCACTCCAAAACTTTTTCTTCTTTCAGCAAAATTTGTTGAAAAAGTCTCTCCCACTCTCTCATTTGTTATCATCACTCTCTCTCTCTCTCTCTCTACACACACACACACACACACACCACACACACACACACACACACACACACACACGTGCAAAGTCATGAAGATTGGGGAAGGGCAAAGAAGACCGCAGACGGAGTACAGTCTAGGGGGCCAGAGACTACAAACCTCACTCAAGGAAAAATATCTTGGGGTGAGTAAAACACCAGGCACATCTCCTGAAGCGCACATCAACCAAATAACTGCTGCAGCATATGGGCGCCTAGCAAACCTCAGAACAGCATTCCGACATCTTAATAAGGAATCCTTGAGGACCCTGTACACCGTGTACGTTAGGCCCATATTGCAGTATGCGGCACCAGTCTGGAACCCACACCTAGCCAAGCACGTAAAGAAACTAGAGAAAGTGCAAAGGTTTGCAACAAGACTAGTCCCAGAGCTAAGAGGTATGTCCTACGAGGAGAGGTTAAGGGAACTCGACCTGACGACACTGGAGGACAGGAGAGATAGGGGGGACATGATAACGACATACAAAATACTGAGAGGAATTGACAAGGTGGACAAAGACATGATGTTCCAGAGATGGGACACAGCAACAAGGGGACACAGTTGGAAGTTGAAGACACAGATGAATCACAGGGATGTTAGGAAGTATTTCTTCAGCCACAGAGTAGTCAGGAAGTGGAATAGTTTGGGAAGCGATGTAGTGGAGGCAGGATCCATACATAGCTTTAAGCAGAGGTATGATAAAGCTCACGGTTCAGGAAGAGTGACCTAGTAGCGACCAGTGAAGAGGCGGGCCCAGGAGCTAGGAGTCGACCTCTGCAACCTCAACTAGGTGAGCACACACACACACACACACACACAGACACACAGACACACACACACACACACACACACACACACACAACACACACACACACACACAGGTTCTTTTGGTACAAAATTATTAATTTTTTACATTAACATAAATTAAAAAAATATATCTTTAAACGTATAAGAGAAAATTTTAGAAAGGACTTAATTTTAAATGAGTTCCTGCTAAGCGACCAATTTTACCTATTCGGCACGGCATTAACGAAACTCCGGCTGGCCAAGCCTCGATCCTGCGCCACCTTGTGCATCCCCGTGAGAAGCTACACAACGCTCTCATTGCTCTAATCATTACACCACCAATCCTACAAACAACATGAATCTAGTGAACTAGACTTTCTTCATGATGTGAGGATATATACAATCTGGGGAAAGGGAGGAAATCAGGTTTGATTAGAGAAAACTGAGGGGGGCTCCAGTGCCTTGTATCAAAAGCCTTTTACTAAAGGATCTTTCACAATATTCCAAGTATCACTTACCAGACTCGACATCCTTGGGGTTAAATCCTTTGAAGTAAGCGGTGGGACAGCCCCACTCACTGGAGATAAGAACATCACGTGCTGGCTGGTACCAGTAGTCGTACCCAAACTCTGAGTCCATCCTTGTCCACGGGCCTGGGTGTATAACGCCAATCATATTCATTATGTTATCAGTGCTTTCAAATCAGTCTAAGGCTTGCAAAGCTGCGTAACCACTGGTTGCTGTGACTGTGACCCACAGCTCTGTGAAAATGGACAGTATTAAAAGATGCAAAAAACATTCAGATTCAGAGTATATAATAGCAAATTATTTACATTTGTTGAATGTGTGTCATGCAACAATAAGTTATGTTGATAACATGATCCATACAACAGGGCATACGAAGTTGAGTACCATTCTTAATGAAGTTCAAGTAATTTGTAATCGATTAGGCCTCATAATATCTTCCTTTAAACAAAGATATTAACAAGCAAACGACATCCCCCATCCATCTATTTGCAGGGTGAAATCATTAGCAACGTTAAAACTTACACATACCTTGGTGCAGATGTGCCCTTTAATAAATCCACTGTACCACAACTAAATAAGAAATGCAAAGATATGCTAAATGTTCTCAAAGCTGTTGCTGGCTACAACCCCAACTATGGTGTTAATGTGAGAATCGTGAGAATGATGTACATAGCCTATGTTAGGTCCTTAACTGATTATGCTGCTCCCATGTTGATATTAGTTAGAGAAGTTCTTTCCGACCCTTGGAGTTAATGCAAAATGAAGCTCTCAGAATTATTCTTGGGTGTCCCAAATCTACAAAGGTTCTTAATATGACGAAGGAGCTTGGTATTTCTAGTATCAGTGATAGGATTGTTGAGATTAACACTACTCGGTATTAGAATGTTGAGAAATGAACCAGACTGTCACACTGAATCTTACTAAGTTTCTAGAAGTAAATACACATAGATCTAAATGGATTGTGAAAACGTGCAACTGCATTAAGTTTTATAACCTGCACGAACTGTATCACTGTAGACGACACGAGCATTTCACTTTCACTCCTCCATGGAAGATGTCTTCATTTAATATCACATACCTGCAAGTCCCTCCCAAGAAGCTCATTGCTAGTAATCCCTTCCTTAAATCACTTGTTAAAGCAAATGCTCAAGAATGATGGATCTAAACAGGAGTCTTCTGGCAGGGCTGCATCTGCTCTTATTGCCACCTCCCTAGTTAAGAACGATAATAAATTTGTTGAACTACGCATAAGAATTACCAACTGAGCGTCTACACTACAAACTGAATTGTTTGCTATCCTAATGGCGCTAAAGCTAACTTATGATACTGTGCTTGACTATCATCATTACTGATTCTATGTATATGTAGATATACATCCAAATGTACACCTGTTAACCCTTTTGGGGCCTAGTTCCTAGGCCTTCTGTGTATCCATATGCTCTTACGTTACCGTCCACAGGAGGGATATGGGGTGCACAATAAACTAGCCACTTCGGTGGCAAAATCTAATCTAAATCATGCAACACATACTAACTGGTGTTAGGCAACACATACTAACTGGTGTTAGGCAACACATACTAACGGGTGTCATGCAACACATACTAACGGGTGTCATGTAACCTGGGGTTAATAATCTCAGGGGATAAAACAAAGATACTCAACAGGCGTCCTCCTCGGCAGAGAGGCACAGTTCGTCAGATCCAGTTGCATGATGGGTCTCTTCTAGAATATGTAAGCAGATACAGGTATCTAGGCTTTGAGGTTCCACTACTTGGACCTGTTGTAACGAGACTTTGTCGCCAATACAAAGAAAGGCTGAGAGCACTTAGAGTTGTGGCAGGTTTTCATCCCAGGTATGGTGCTAATGTTAAAATTGTGAAAATGATGTATCTTGCTTATATTAGATCATTGGTTGATTATGCAGCGCCACTACTTGCACTCGTGTCTGACTGGAAGCTTGGAGGGCTGGAAAAACTGCAAAACGAAGCAATGAGGATCATCCTAGGATGCCCTCGTACTGCTAAAATTTTAAATATGCGGAAAGAACTTAATATTCCAAGTATTAGAGATCGTGTTACTGAAAGAAATATCCTTATTGGGGTCAATATGCTTAGGCTAGCCCATTCAAACCCCTGCACAGAAGCCCTCCAAACTTTCCTCAGCACTGGTGAACACCCTTCCAGATGGATCGAAAAACTGGAACCGACCTCCGCATGAACCAGCTACATGATTCTATATCAAGTTGGACACAGAGACATTTCCCTGCTCCATGGGATATTACCCCATTCCAAACTACCATTCCTCCATTTCCCCCCAAAACTCTTCTTAAATCACAACCAAAGCTTCGTCTTGAAGCCAAACATGATGCCTTAAGCTGTATTGATAACTTAGTCACACAGAACAATCTTTCACAAATTATTTACGTCGATGGTTCTGTTCACCAGTCCACTGGTGCAGCTGGTAGTGCCGCTGTTGTCACACAGAGTGATGGCTCTCATAAAAAATTTGGGAGCACGCATCAATAACTGGGCCTCTACCCTTCAAACAGAACTGTTTGCCATACTTCTTGCACTCAAATGTGTCCATGTATCTAAGGTTGACACTTTAATTGTAACTGATTCTCTGTCATCCATAAATGCTCTCAACTCATTAAGTATAAATTGTGGCATGCTTGTGTCAGAAGCCAGACATAGATATGGTAAGATTGTGGACAGTGGAGTCAGAGTGCACATGCTGTGGATTCCATCTCACATTGGTCTTCAGATGCATGATAGAACTGATAAATTGGCTAAGCTGTATGCTTTCAAAGAGGGAGTAGATTACAATCTTGGCTTGTCAGGTAGTAGTTTGAGAACAATAATACGAAAAGAACTTCAGCTGAATTTTATGGACTTAAGGCTCAGGGAGATTGACACCAGTGAGTCCATCTATCATCATTCTATCATGCAGGAGGAGCCACATGTCTATGGTGCATCCAACAAAATAAGCAGACTCTTGGATGTCACTACCGCCCGGCTCCGGCGGGGTTACAAGTATCTGTGGCAGGTTAAATCACCACCACCAGATGTAGACCAAACGAAATGTAAACTTTGCCAGATGGACTATTGTCCAACATTGCGTCATTATGTACTGGAGTGTGATAAAATTAATGAATTTAGAAACAACTCCTCAGAAGTGTTCAAGAAAAGGCTAAGTATTTTATCCACAGTGGTATATTGCAGACCATTCTGGAGAAATACCCTGACTTTGCTAGCTGTAAATAAAGCATTACCACATGTGTGCATGTGTGTGTGTGTGTGTGTGTGTGTGTGTGTGTGTGGGTGTGTGTGAGGGTGTGTGTGTGTGTGGTGTGTGTGTGTGCGCGTGCGTGTGTGTGGGTGTGTGAGGGTGTGTGTGCGGGTGTGTGTGAGGGTGTGTGTGTGTGTGTGTGCGTGTGTGTGTGTGTGTGCGTGTGTGGGTGTGTGTGCGTGTGTGGGTGTGTGTGTGCGTGTGTGGGTGTGTGTGTGTGTGTGTGGGTGTGTGTGTGTGGGTGTGGTGTGTGTTGGGGTGTGTGTGAGGGTGTGTGTGTGGGTGTGTGTGAGGGTGTGTGTGTGTGGGTGTTGGTGTGTGGGTGTGTGTGTGTGGGTGTGCGTCCTTGTGTGTATGCATATATTTGTACGCTCGTGTGCACATGTCCGTGCGTGCGCCCTCGTGTGTGTATGTGCGCGCGCGCACTAGTGTGGGTGTATGATCCACTTAATATTTGTATTTATAACTCATTACAATTGTGACCAGGTGTGACGTATCAGTGGTTCATTACTTTGTAATTTGTTCATGACTGTAACCATGTATAAAGGAGTGAAGCTGATTCATTACCTCTGTAACTTGCCATGATTGTGACCAGATCTACCTGGAGTTCATTACCTTTGTAACTAGTTCAGCTGTCATAACTTTGGGGTCCAGTCACTGGACCCATTATGTACCTTTGTAATCTTTTGACTACCGCCCACAGGATGGGTATGGGGTGCATAAAGATATTAAACTAAAGTGTGTGTGTTTTGTGTGTGTGTGTGTGTGTGTGTGTGTGTGTGTGTGTGTGTGTGTGTGTGTTGGGTGTGTGTGTGTGTGGTGTGTGTGACTCAACAATCAATATTTGCACCAATAACTCATTACAGTTTGACCGGGTGTGGAAGTGTGAATTGCTCATTACTCTATAATTTGTTCATGATTGTAGCCAAAGTATAAACGTAAGTAACCATTCTAAAAGAATTCATTACCTTTGTAACTTGTGAGCTCATTACCTTTGTACCTAGTTCAGCTATCAAAACTTTGGGGGCCCAGTCCCTGGACCCATTACGTACCTCTGTAATCTGTAAATACCTTTGTAACTTGTCATGATTGTGACCAGACTTACCTGGAGTTCATTACCTTTGTAAATTGTGAGTTCATTACCTTTGTAAATTGTGAGTTCATTACCTTTGTAAATTGTGAGTTCATTGCCTCTGTAACTTGCTCAGCTATCAAAACTTTGGAGTCCAGTCCCTGGACCAATTATGTACCTCTGTAATCTTTTGACTACCGCCCACAGGATGGGTATGGGGTGCATAATAAACATATTAAACTAAACTAACTAACTAACGGGTGTCATGTAACACATACTAATGGGTGTCGTGCAACACATACTAACGGGTGTCAAGCAACACATACTAACGGGTGTCATGTAACACATACTAATGGGTGTCGTGCAACACATACTAACGGGCGTCATGCAACACATACTAACGGGTGTCATGTAACACATACTAATGGGTGTCGTGCAACACATACTAACGGGCGTCATGCAACACATACTAACGGGTGTCATGTAACACATACTAATGGGTGTCGTGCAACACATACTAACGGGTGTCAAACAAAACATACTAACGGGCGTCATGCAACACATACTAATGGGTGTCATGTAACACATACTAACGGGTGTCATGCAACACATACTAATAGGTATCATGTAACACATACTAACCTGTATGTTCAAAGGTGACAGAGTCAAAAGTAATGAAAGAACCTTTGGCTTTGCCCTGTGCGTCACCCATGGTAGATATCATGACCTTGCCGTTAGGCAAGCAGTGAGAGGTGTGGGGATGGCTGACACCCGCACTCTTCAGCACCTCCGGCTCTATCACCTAACAAAGAGTTAACCAAGCTATGTATATTTTAATTTTTAAAGGGGTGAATGGGTAATCCGTCGAAAGGACTTGGTCAAATGACCAAAAGGTCCAATGGGGGGATCTCATATAACTGAAACACGTCAAGAAACACTTGTCCTGTTTCCTGACAAATCTTACCTAACCTAATCACAATGTAAATATATAAAGCTTTCTTAAAATACAGCATAAAGATAATGTTAGTGAATAAACTGATGTAGCAAAGCTGAATAAAAATATATTTGTAGATGGATGGTTCAGAGAACCGACATGTTGATAAATTAGACACATGTGCAACTCTTGGGTATCTTTATTGAGGAATAAAGGTACCCAAGAGTTGCACATGTGTCTAATTTATGAATAAAAATGGAAACATTGGTTGTTATGATGGTGGTGGTGGATTTTAATGGTTGTTTGGCATGGTAGGTGTCGCAGTGGTGGCAGTGGCTGTTGTGGTGGATGGTGGGATTGTGGTAGTGGTGTTTGTTGTGGTGAATGGTGGGATTGTGGTAGTGGTGTTTGTTGTGGTGGATGGTGGAATTGTGGTAGTGGTGCTTGTTGTGGTGGATGGTGGGATTGTGGTAGTGGTGCTTGTTGTGGTGGATGGTGGGATTGTGGTAGTGGTGCTTGTTGTGGTGGATGGTGGGATTGTGGTAGTGGTGTTTGTTGTGGTGGATGGTGGAATTGTTGGTAGTGGTGCTTGTTTGTGGTGGATGGTGGGATTGTGGTAGTGGTGCTTGTTGTGGTGGATGGTGGGATTGTGGTAGTGGTGCTTGTTGTGGTGGATGGTGGGATTGTGGTAGTGGTGCTTGTTGTGGTGGATGGTGGGATTGTGGTAGTGGTGCTTGTTGTGGTGGATGGTGGATTGTGGTAGTGGTGTCTGTTGTGGTGGATGTTTGGATTGTGGTAGTGGTGCTTGTTGTGGTGGATGGTGGGGGGTTATGATGGGACGTGGTGGTGGGGGATTATGATGGGTGGTGGTGGGGGTTGTGATGGGTGGTACTGAGGGTTGCGATGGGTGGTACTGAGGGTTGTGATGGGCTGCGCTGGGGTTGTGATGGGTGGTATTGGGGGATGTGATTGGTGGTGGGGGTTGTGATGGGTGGTTGTGATGAGTGGTGTTTTGGGTTGTGACGCGTGGTGGTGGGGGTTCTGATGGGTGGTGGTGGGGGTTCTGATGGGTGGTGGTGGGGGTTGTGATAGGTGTGGGAGTTGTGATGGGCGGTGTTGGGGTTGTGACGGTGGTGGTGGGGGTTGTGATGGTTGGTGGTGGGTTGTGATGGGTGGTGATAAAGGTTGGGATGGGTGGTGGTGGGGGTTGTGATGGGTGGTGGTGAGGGTTGTGATGGGTGGTGGTGGGTTGTGATGGGTGGTGTTGAGGTTTGTGATGGATGGTAGTGAGGGTTGTGATTGGTAGTGGTAGGGGGTTGTGATGGGTGGTGGTGGGAGTTGTGATGGGTGGTGGTGGGAGTTGTGATGGGTGGTGGTGGGAGTTGTGATGGTGGTGGTGGGAGTTGTGATGGGTGGTGGTGGGGGATGTGATGGGTAGTGGTGAGGGTTGTGATGTGTGGTGTGGGGTTGTGATGGGTGGTGGGGGGTTGTGATGGGTGGTGGTGGGGGTTGTGATGGGTGGTGGTGGGGTTGTGATTGGTCGTGGAGGGTTGTGATTGGTGGTGGGGGTTGTGATGGGTGGTGGTGGGGGTTATGATGTGTGGTGGTGGGGGTTGTGATGTTGGTGGTGGGGGTTGTGATGTGTGGTGGTGAGGGTTGTATGGGTGGTTGTGAAGGTTGTGATGGGAGGTTGTGAAGGTTTGGATGGGTGGTTATGATGGCGGTGGTGGGGTTGTTTATGGGGGATGTGATGGTGGTGGTGAGGTTGTGATGGGGGTTGTGATGGGTGGTGGTGGGGGTTTGTGATGGTGGTGGTGGGGGATGTGATGGTGGTGAGGGTGGTGGTGGTGGGGGTTGTGATGAGTGGTGGGGTTGTGATGGTGGTGGGGGTTGTGATGGGTGGTAAGGTTGTGATGGTGGTGTGGGGGTTGTGATGGGTGGTAAGGGTTGTGATGGTGGTGGTGGGGGTTGTGATGGTGGTGGTGGGGGTTGTGATGGTGTTGGTGGGAATTGTGTACACTGAGGTCAGTGGTCACATGTGGTCATACCTGTCCTAAACTCTCTGGGAGTTAGCGTGGGGCGTTACCAAGCACAATGGCTTGTTGTAGTGCTTTAGAATCTCAGGTTCAGGTGTTTAAGAAGGTGGTTCTGCTTCTTCAGGAGGAAAATAGGAGGAAAATAGCAGTGAGAATGACAGCCGCTTTAAGTGGAAAGTGGTTCACAGTTCAGGAAGAAGGAAGATAAGGAGGGTTAACAGAGAAGATGTGAAGGTAGGGAATCGATTCTCTGTTCTCCAGGACGAGTGCACTTCAATGGTTAGTGAGGTTGAAGGTACCACTGATTCCCCTGCTAATCAAGGTAAGAATATTTTAATAGTAGGAGATTCTCAGGTAAGATATATGGACCGTGCTTTTTGTAACAGAGACAGAAAGGTCAGACAGAGGGTGTGCCTTCCAGGAGCTGGTGTTGGTGACATAGTCAGCAGGTTGGATAATATTATGGCAGGTAATGGGAACAAGCCCATTATCTGTCTTAGTGCTGGGGGCAATGACATTGGGAAGGGCAGAAGACAGAAGATGCTGGATAAGTACAGGTCAGCCATAAAAGTAGTTAAGTCTAAGGGAAGAATCCCAGTCATATGTAGCATCTTGCCTAGAAAGGGAGTGGGCAATGAATGGATGTCTAGGACGATTGGTATAAATTGCTGGCTAGACAGGTACTGCAAGGAACTTGCAATCCCATTCATTGATAACTGGGACATATTCTCTGGCAAATGTGATATGTATGCAAGGGATAGGATTTATCTCTCTGGGGATGGAGTAGTTGCATTAGCCAGTTCGATTGAGAGGGTAATTGATGACTTGTCTAGGAATTTAAACTGATAGATTATAGAGGTATGGGTGTTTGTGGGAAACAATCAGGCTGCAGCATTAGGGTTAAAAACAGAAGTTATTACCGGGATACCTCAGGGATATGTTTAAAAGACAATATTCAAAATATAGTTGCTAGTAATGGCAAATCAATTGATCAACAAAGAGAGATAGTAGAGGGCAACGAGTGACTAACTCCCTTAAGGTTTATTATACAAATAGTAGGAGTCTAAGAAATAGACTAAGATGAGCTAAGATTACTTGCAAGTGTAAGTAATATAGATATTATTGGTATAACAGAGACCTGGTTCAACCTGAAAGATAGAGAAATGCCTTCTGAATGCAGCATAAAGGGTTATAAACTATTCCACACTGATAGGGTCAACAGGAAGGGTGGTGGAGTGGCGATGTATGTCAGATAAAATTGTTGTCTTAGACATGATATAAGATTAGAAACATCGAACATAGAATCTGGCTACAGTTTCTCGAGGGACGTGACAAATTAATTCTGGATGTGATTTATAGGCCCCCAAACCTTGGCAGAGAGTGCAGTATGATGTTATGGGACAAAATTCATAAGGCATCTAGATATGAAAATGTTGTGATAATGGGAGATTTTAACTTTAGACAAATTGATTGGAACAATTTGACAGGAAATCTTGAGTCTAGTGACTTTCTTGATACGGTTCAGGATTGCTTTTTAGAACAGGTTGTGACAGAACCAACTAGAGGAAACAATCTGCTTGACTTGGCTCTTGCCAACAGAGAGTCACTAATTAATAATCTTGAGGTTAATGATGAGCTTGGGGAAAGTGATCACAAATCACTTAGTTTCAATATATCATAGAATTACCCAGATAACTGCAATCAAATCTGTCCCAGATTTTCGCTTGGCCGACTTCATGGGACTGAAAAATTACCTGGGTGGGCTAAATTGGGATGACCTGACTATGGGTCAGGTAGGTGGTCTTGGTTGCCAATATGACGTTTTTCAGAGCATAGTTCTAGCTGCCCAGACAACTTTTATTCCGAGTAGGGAAAATAGATCTAACAAAAATGATACCAAATGGATGAACAATAGATTAAAACATCTCATTGGTCAAAAGAGAGGCATATATAGGCGTATCAAAAGAGGGGATGGGGAGTTAAGAACTCAATATATTCAACTGAAGAGAGAGATAAAGAAAGGAATAAGAAAAGCAAAAAAGGATTATGAGGCTAATGTCGCAAGAGATTCGAAGACTAACCCAAAAGGGTTCTTTCAGGTATAAAGAAGTCAGATCACTGACAGTGATAAGGATATGTATTAAATTTTCAATACCTACTTCCTCTCAGTTTTCACCCAGGAAAATGCTAGCGATATTCCTGAAATAAGAGATTATGTAGAACAGGACGATAATAAACTATGCACGATTGCGGTAACTAGTGACATGGTCCTCAGACAAATAGAGAAACTAAAACCTAACAAATCCCCAGGCCTTGATGAACTGTTTGCAAGGGTGTTAAAGGAATGTAAAGAGGAACTTAGCATACCTTTGGCTAATCCTTTCAACATATCACTACAAACTGGCATAGTGCCTGATAAGTGGAAAATGGCAAATGTAATACCTGTTTACAAGGCAGGTGACAGGTCCTTGGCTTCGAACTATAGACCAATAAGCCTTACCTCCATAGTGGGAAAATTTATGGAATCAATAATTGCTGAAGCAATTCGTAGCCATCTTGATAGGCACAGATTGATTAATGAATCTCAACAAGGTTTTACAAAGGGACGTTCCTGTCTTACGAATTTACTAACTTTTTTCACTAAGGTGTTTGAGGAGGTAGATCATGGTAATGAATATTATATTGTGTATATAGACTTCAGTAAGGCTTTCGATAGAGTTCCACATCAGAGGCTATTGAGGAAACTTAAGGCACACGGAATGGGAGAATTTTTTTCCTGGGTAGAGGCATGGCTGACAAATAGGCATCAGAGAGTTTGCATAAATGGGGAGA